AGTACCGCAGACGATGGAACGATGAGCTGTATGAGCTTTACAACGATATGGACATAGTGCAGCGAATTAAAATACAGCGGCTCCGCTGGCTTGGTCATGTCGTTCGAATGGACACCGACGCTCCAGCTCTGAAAGTATTCAACTCGGAACCCGCTGGTGGTAGCAGAGGAAGAGGGAGGCCCCCACTGCGATGGAAAGATCAGGTGGAGAAGGACTTGGCTGCACTTGGCGTCAGTTGGCACAGAGGAGAAACGACTGGCGTGCTTTGCTGAACTCGGCCAAAATCGCTTAGGCGGTTACAGCGCCAAAAAAGAAGAAGAAGAATAAATATTGGATAAACCAAAGAAAAAAGGAAAATCTTGTTAAAATGTCGTGTCCCTACTTATTTTTCTACCATTGTATGTAGGTATGAAATTTGTGACCGAAAAAACTTTTACAAATGCTTTGGTATTTATTCATATTTTGACCTCGTTTAGTGAATGCAATTGGTCTCATTCCCATCATTTTTGGAGTGTTGCACTCTGTTATTGGTACTCAAAATAGGTTTGAAGAAAAGTTGTTAATTTTTATGATCTAAAGGTGCCGCCAGGAGTTGACATCGTAAATAATGTTTATTTCATATTCTCTCTCTTTCTCTTTGGCGCTTACACATATGTTAGTGTTTGGCCGAGCTTCTCCTCCGAGTTGTGGCGTGCGCTTTGATATTGTCACACAGAGGGGAGGAACCTACAGTTTTACGCCGACTCCGAACGGCGATTGCATTTTTTATGAGAAGCTGTTTTTTATGGCAGAAATACACTCGGATTTTTGCGTAGAGNCACATATGTTAGTGTTTGGCCGAGCTTCTCCTCCGAGTTGTGGCGTGCGCTTTGATATTGTCACACAGAGGGGAGGGACCTACAGTTTTACGCCGACTCCGAACGGCGATTGCATTTTTTATGAGAAGCTGTTTTTTATGGCAGAAATACACTCGGATTTTTGCGTAGAGTTCGGTTCTCAATGACCGCCCTTATAGGAAAGTTTCCCCAACTAAAAAACTAAAAACTACAAAATAACTCCAGACTCTTCCTGAATATTTGACCATTTTTTTAATTTAAGCCTTATAATTAATTTAATATTTTTCTGATTTTTATACCCGAGCGCCCTGCCCCTAAGGCTATGCTTACACCTTTTCACTATCACACTTAACTTTGCTTACTAAGTAGTGTTTGCCACAATATGAAGAACAGCGCGCAAAATAATAACAGTCGCACAGGTTTTTTGAAAAATAAAAGGGTTCTTTATAGATTTTGTGTTTTTTTTTGTTAACTTTATAAATACTTTACTTTAATTTTATTAATTGATTTAAAAATTTTTATCCTGATTTGCATTTGCAAGCTTTGGGAGATAAGTACATGCGGCACTAACCTCTTTTTCAGGTGTATTTTTTCTTAGATTTTGTATAAAAAAAAATAAAACCTGTATAGGGTTGGTCGAATGAATTCCCTCCTAGTCACCAGTTTCCAGTCTTTTCGATTGCTGAGTATGAGGCCTTATGTTAGACAAAAGACGGAGTATAAAGGACCCAAATGGGGGAAATTAGACTATGGTTACAGAAGATATGTAATAAAGTAACCGACGAAGACTTGCGCTTATCTCCCAAAGTGTTTACCGCCGGTAAACCCAAATGAAGGTTAAAATTTAAAAACAAATTAATAAAATTGAAATAAAATCTGTGGATAATTAACAATAAACTACTTTTTCGAAACTACATTATAGAAAGGCCCCTTTTATTTTTCAAAAAAAAAAAAAAAACTGCAACAGATATTATTTTACACCCTGTATATGATAAAAAATTACTAGCTGGAAAAAGGAGTACAAAAGAAGTACAAAGCTAATAAAGGAGTACATTTCCAGATATTTTTTTTTGGGAGTACAAGGGAGTACATTGCAATAAAAAGGAGTACGTTTACTTCCAAAAGCAGTACGTCTGGCAACCCTAGGTTGCAATAACACAAACGACAATACATTTTTTTATTGCACTTTTAAATGGGAAATAATACCAAAATTTCCCATTGCTTATTTACACTATTTGTTACAAAAACGGTTTAGTGACAGAAGGAAAAATATCTTTCTTTATTCCAAAAATACAATTAAACAAAAAATGTGATATAATTCATAAATAAAGTAATATTCACAAAATATTTTTACTTATGAAAAGTCTAACAAATATATAACAATAGGGAAACCGCCTTTAAAAACTGCTCGACAAATTGGACATAGCGCTTTTGTATGAATTTTATCTGCATGCTCTTTAATATGCTGAAAACGTTGCGGGCAAACTTTAAAATGTTTGCATGGAACAAACAAAAGTTGCCGTTCCTGTTGGCAGCATACAACACAGAGAATATTCTTTTGAGTTTTATCTTCAGTTGAAATTTCTGCATTATCATCACTTTCTACACATATGTATGTTAGTGTTTGGCCGAGTTTCTCTTCCGATTTGTGGCGTGCGCATTAATATTGTCACACAAAGGGAAGGGACCTAAGTTTTACACCGACTCCGAACGGCGATTGTGTCTTTATGAGAAGCTGTTTTCCATGGGAGAAATGCAATCGGAGGTTTGCTATTGCCTGTCATTAAAAAGCAGTTTCAGAAGTGAACAGAAGTGCAATTCTATTATTATTATTTTTCTAAGCGGTTATAATGCCAGCAGAGCACAGGAGGGGAGGGGGCGGAGGACGCGAGCACAACGTTGGACGCGGGGTGGCGTGGGGCGGCGCGGGAACGCAAAACCGCCGCGACGCTGAGCACTTTCAAAATTGTATACTTACAAATCCGTCCATTTAACTTGTTCATGTACAACTTTTGTCAAATGTAACTGGGTAACAAGTACTTCCGAGTGGCCTGGCACACAGAGCAAAGCAAGGTCTATATGTTTACCAACATACTTTAGACTTGCATTTCCGAACCAGTCTGAAAGTACTTAATTAGAGGGCTTACAGTGGCGGTCAAAAAAGGATGAATGGTGTTTCGGTTTTAATATTTACAATGTGTTTCCAGCTAAATTTTTTGTGATATTTTTTACGTGTCTGCAGAGACTCCTTGCCCTCCTCCACCTATTTTTCACCACGTAGTCCACGTAGGCTTTGAGAATTGCTTATACATATTCGCCAAAAGAAAAGTGAAGCTTGTTACCATTAACTTCGAAAAATACCCCAGATCCTGACCCAGAGCCTGTTTTGGAGCCATCAGTAATGTGTGAGTCCTGGCTCAGTGCTGGAATTAAACCAGAATTCAGCCTCAGGGAATTCAAAATTTTAGAATCTCTTCAACAAAGGTAATGGCGACGTAATATCCTGTGGCATTGAATTCCCAAATGCCGCCAGTAATTTCCGTATCGCCCCACTGAGAGTTATACCAGCATCCGTTTCTTTTTAGTCTGCAGGTGGCTTTTAAGGCGTCATCACGTATAAAGACACACAGTTATGGTAAGTGCAGAAGCGCGTTAAGAGCACTATATACCATTCAAAACACTTTAAGTTAAATATAGAGGCTACCAATCAACCATAAGATTCATTTCGTGGACCTTCATTTACAACTGGTGCACCCCCATATTTTCTTTCACGCAACGTAGACCACCGTCGAATCTCCCCATGGACCCATGGGGGTTCACCTGGACCACTTTGGGAATCACTGCTCTAAAGCATTCTGTAGGAATGACTTGCATAATGTCTTTAGCCTCATCCTCGTAAGGGCTGGACACTAGCACAGGGAGTTTTCGTCTGTATCTTTTGAACCAGAGTAATAGCAACTTCGACATCAACGGACCAGTGCCCTGTGAACACTGCAGTAAGTTAGTAGGTATCTTCTTTGCTCATTCCTAAGAGAGCTTTGGTCTAAGTCGGTCGTAGGACGCCCATCCTGTACGGTTCACCCTCTGCTTAGGCTTCGAGTGATAAATTTCGGTAATTGTTGCTTTTATCTCCCATAGCGAAGCGCCCATGTCCACCACTTCGGACACATTCAGTGCAGAGCCGCACCTTGCTAGTTCGTCCGCTGCCACGTTTCCGTAAATGTCCTTATGACCCAGAAACCATATTAGAGTAATTTTGTATTAATCAGAGATATAGACCAGCTCTCTCCTACAGTATTCTACTAGTTGAGATGTAATAGAGGTAGAGGCCTCAATGGCCGATTAGCTTTCCGAGATATTCAGATGAATATTTAAGCAAAAATTACAGGAATTTTTTTGGCAAGAGATTTCGCACTGAATTTAACTAGTTGCAAATCAAAAATATGGAAAAACCATATGTATTTATTAAAAAAATATACAAAAATATGCGCAATAAATTTGCAAAAACAGGTATTTTTTCCAAAACATGCCTATTTAAAGGAAACTTCATTAATCGTAAAGATTTAAAATCAACGCGATTTTTTATCAACTTAAAACTTACACTTACTAAAATTTAAAGGGCTTTAAAACTGCATACTCAAAAAAATTCTAAAAATCTGACTAAAAAGCTGAAAATTTAGATGCAATTTTGCAGAATTTTTATAATTATTGCACAAGGTTTGAAATATGAATTTATATGGTATTTGTTAGATAATGAGCTATACTTTTATATAAAGTGATAAATATTGAATAAACAAAAGAAAAAAGGAAAATCTTGTTAAAATGTCGTGTCCCTACTTATTTTTCTACCATTGTATGTAGGTATGAAATTTGTGACCGAAAAAACTTTTACAAATGCTTTGGTATTTATTCATATTTTTACCTCGTTTAGTGAACGCAATTGGTCTCATTCCCATCATTTTTGGAGTGTTGCACTCTGTTATTGGTACTCAAAATAGTTTTGAAGAAAAGTTGTTAATTTTTATGATCTAAAGGTGCCGCCAGGAGTTGACATCGTAAATAATGTTTATTTCATATTCTCTCTCTTTCTCTTTGGCGCTTACACATATGTTAGTGTTTGGCCGAGCTTCTCCTCCGAGTTGTGGCGTGCGCCTTGATATTGTCACACAGAGGGGAGGGACCTACAGTTTTATGCCGACTCCGAACGGCGATTGCATTTTTTATGAGAAGCTGTTTTTTATGGCAGAAATACACTCGGAGATTTGCCATTGCCTGCCGAGGGGGACCACTGCTAAGAAAAAACCTTTTTTCTAATTTTTTTTCGATGTTGCTTTGACCAGGGCTTGAACCCAGGCATTGCGGAGTGGAAGCGCGCACTGCTTACCACTACACCACAGCGGCCTCCATATACATATATATATCTTACTGATGTAAAAGAAAACCTCATATACATATGCATGTATATCATCAAAAGCAAACAAAGGAACAATTTTATATGAAGGCTGGGGTGACGAGCCAACGAGGACTGCCGCTAAAGAGACAACATTTACTTTTTGCACTGAAATAAGATCGCATGACTTGATTTCTCATATGTAACATTTTTGATAATGGCTTTATTTCACTCTCCCCATGGACATATGTAAAGCCATATCCATGTGAAGGGAAATAAAGCCATATGGCGTAATTTCCCATTGCTTTTTTGCACGGCGCCAATTATATCATTAAGTCTAACTCAGCATATTATCCAAAAAAGTTTGAAATCGGGGAAAACACCCCTGCTTATCTTGCAAAGGTAGTTTAGAGAAAGTCGAAACTACGTTATTAGATATCTGTGCCGGGTATACAAAGTTGGGTTTCGCCCGAACTTATACTTCTTTATTTGTTTATTGTTAAAAAAAGTGTAATAAATAAAAATTTTACGTTTTTTGGCCGAAATAACGATTAGTTTGCTGTAATTTTACGATTTTTCAACGAAATCTGTCAGCAGCGCTGACTCGTAGGTTTACCATTGCCTGCCAAAGGGCGACCGCTAGTAGAAAAGCGCGCACTGCTAATTACTACACCGCAGCTGCCGCCATTAGTTAAGATAAAAACAAGCAAACAAGTTTTGCTAGTTTTCTATCGTTCTTAAATAAAGTTATTGGGTTTGAAGTTTTAGGGAAAAAAAATAAAATCTTGGGATTTAGGTACAATTTCTTTGGTCCCAAATATTCTCCATTTTCGTATGTTCAACCGTCTGCCAAACACCCCGTATATTAAGATAACAATACATACAGTTATATTTGAATAAAAGCCTTTATATTTACCGGTGTCAAAGCAGTAAATAGTAATAATGGTGCCGCCGATAAGCCCAAAAGCCAACGCCAACCAAAGTTAGGGTAAACTGCTAAGGCCAAAGTAATTTCAAAGCAAGCGCCCAAAGCCCAGAAGCACTGAAAAAATAAAAAGATGTGATTCTTAATACAGTCGAGTGACCTTCGTTTTATAAAATAAATATATACAAAGTTAATATATGTCCATACCACTCAAATATTTGGTTTTAAAAATACTATACTTTCATAAAATACGCTTAAAAATTTCTTCGTTTTTGAAATACCTCATTGATTACAGAGGGCAACACTGATTTTGGTGCGGGAAATGTTGAAATAAAAGGTGATATAATCTTCCACTTAGGCTTAAATTAAGGCTTGAACTTTCGACTACAATCCCTCAAAATTTTATTTAAAATTTTTAATATAGTTAGTTGATTAATCCTTATTAATACATATGTGTAAACTAAATGGTTCCATTTGAAAAGACAATCTTAACTAATAGCCAAATATAAATTTAGTTGAGTAAGTAGAGTGGAGTACTAAACTTACATTTTATGATTTGTTTTCATGCAAATAGAGGAATATTAACTGAAAATCGACACCTGAGTGGATGATCGACGTATCTCAGCAGCCAGTTCGAAAACGCCCTATTTCAGAAAACACTTCAAGAACGTTTTATCTCAGAATTCGGTTAAAAAGCGCCCTAACTTAGCTGCCGATTAAAAAACGCCCCACCTCAGCACATTTTCAATACATTTTCATTTGAGATAGGGCGTTTTTAAACCAAAATCTGAAATAGCACCTTCTTAAACCAAATTCTGGGCTAGGGTGTTTTTCAATAAAATTCTGAAGTAGGGCGTTCTTGAAAAGTTTTCTGATATAGGGCGTTTTCGAACTGGCTGCCGAGATAGGTCGATCTTTCACTCAGGTATCGAAATATTTTCTTACTACGAAGATATGTGGGACATGCGTATAAAAAATTAATAAATGTGAAGTAAATACATATCGTCGCCCTTATGACAGAAGTATGAATGTGCAATTTTTTTTTTTGAGTTATTGGATTGACTTGATTAACCTTTGGATGTCCTAGGTTATACCAAAACCCTGAATACCATGTGTACACGGAAACTACATATTTCACAATGTCAATTACGTGAAAGCAGAGTTAGGTCTCATAGAAAAATTCAAACTTGATTTCCCAAAATTTTAGTTTTTATGCAGTAAAGAATTAAATTAATTAATCCCAACGACTTTTTACCCTCCATTCTCGCCCAACCGGCACGAGGGGCGCAGTCCGCACGACGTACGGAACCTTTTTTTTAGTTTTTTGGTGCCGAGTAGTGGAAACAGGAGTTTGTTAAGTGTCGAGATCTAAAACTATTCAGCTACAGAATCAAATTCATCAGCTGATTGGATATGCTAAAGATAGTATTTCAATTATTGAGAGTGGAAATAATAGTTTTCTTTATAGTAAAAATCGAGTCCGATACGTCAAACGTGCTGGAATGACAGTGTACAATCAACCGATTGTAATGAAGGAGCACCCTAACACCTTCTCTGCTTTTCAACTTTCTTGGTACTGCAAAAAGAAAGTGGAGAAAGGTAAAACATTCCAAATTCAACAGCCAACGCGCGCACACGGAGAAACGGCCACCGGGAAGTTTAACGGCAACAAATAGACATTTATATATATTATACCTGCTTTAATTATTAAAACTACAACATTTATAACGTTTTAAATATAAGGTTTTAATATAAGAACTCAGTCAATTTCACTTTCAAATTCATTTCAAAATCACTGAATACAACATATGNCCAATTGTTGCAAATTTTAGTGAATAAAAAATGAGTGAATTGAAAATTTGCTTATGGAATGCTAACGGTGTAAACCAGCGTAGATTAGAACTCAGTCAATTTCTCACTGAATACAACATAGATGTTATGCTACTGTCCGAGACACATTTAACAAATAAATATAATTTCTCCATACCTGGATACAAATTCTATGCCACAGCGGTGCTGATTAGAAATCGTCTAAAGCACAATATTCTAGAGTCAAAAGCAACAGCCTGTCTGCAAGCAACTACCATATGCTTACGAAACCGCGACCGAGACTTGAATCTATCGGCTATTTGTTGCCCAACGCGATTTTTAATCNTCACTGAATACAACATAGATGTTATGCTACTGTCCGAGACACATTTAACAAATAAATATAATTTCTCCATACCTGGATACAAATTCTATGCCACAAATCATCCAGATGGTAAAGCTCGTGGAGGCACAGCGGAGCAGATTAGAAATTGTCTAAAGCACAATATTCTAGAGTCAAAAGCAACAGGTTGTCTGCAAGCAACTACCATATGCTTACGAAACCGCGAACGAGACTTGAATCTATCGGCTATTTATTGCCCACCGCGATTTTTAATTTCTGAAAATTACTTTAAAGATTTCTTTGATAGCCTGGGTAATAGATTCCTGGCAGGAGACGACTTCAACGCAAAGCATACGTACTGGGGATCACGCCTTATTAACCCAAAAGGGCGGCAACTATACAATACCATTATAAACAGGCACAATAGACTAGAGGTCACATCTCCTGGTACTGGCCTTACTGGCCGATATAAAGAAGATACCAGACCTAATAGATTTCGCAATTACAAGAAACATATATAGAAATAACATAACAGCAGAAACTCTACCTGAACTATCATCCGATCACTCCCCTATATTAATAAAACTATATGAACAGACCCAAAATATCGA